ACAAATAAAAACAGATCTCACAATTGGTATGGCTAGGTCTGAAAGGGTTAAGCGCCACGGAGATAATCAATTGAATACGTCAAGCATTGCATATGTGCGAGGTTGGCCAGTGTCTTGCTCGCAAACGTTCAAATAAACTCGTCAATTCAACTTGTCCGTCACCGTGACTAAAATTCAGATAACTCGTTCGGATTAACACCCTTATTCTAGAACCCGAATTTTCGTAATTCGTAATTCGTAGCTACATTACGAAAAACGAAAAATCGACATGCTGCAACCCTTGCGGAAAAATGTACAGCAATGCCAGGTATCAGTTGTTTTTCGAACTCAGCTGTATGAAGGAAAACAAAGTGGAAAGGAATTAAAAAAAACCTCATCATGTGCTTGTTTATAGTAAAATTGATTGATTTTAAATATTTTGAGGAAATTTATGGATTCTGAAGCATTTGCAGTTATAGCAGCGGAGTAAGAGCGCGCTATGGCAATGGACTCACAAAGGTATGCGGAGCTGCCGGGCATAGTAGCCATGGGTGCACCTATATCAGCTTCTGGTTGAATTGTTGAACCACAAGCCAGAACTCCTCCTATGCCTGAAGAACTGGTTCCCAATCCAGTTAATGCAATAACAGCTTTCTTCCAATCCACTGAAAACATGTATTTCTTCTTATTCTGCAACTCTTTCGTATTCGGATTTTGCTACGAATCGTAGAAATAGTATGCTGCAATCCGAAACGTATTTTCGAACTTTCGAAATTCGTAACAATGGCATGCCTAAAAACGAACGAGTAAGCTTTTTTGCGTAATTTTGTACGAAAACAATTCTGTGTCGGAGGCGAAATAAAAGATGTAAATCGATGTGTGTTTGCAAGAAATATTGGTGGTGTTCATTTAAACAGATAAATTTGCCTTTGACATATACGTATTTTTTTATCCACTGCTTTATATAAACGAGCAAAAAAGAATATTTGTTGCCCCTTATCGAGAAACTTGGGTCCGGTTTAGTTAATGTACAACGATTTTCGGTTGTTGTGTCCAAACGCATAACCCAAATCCAAAAACTTTAACATACACGTGTAATCAAAGGATTCACATTTTATTTAAGATAAATATTCCAAATTTCCTACCACTAGCTTATTAATAAACTCAGTTTGCACTATGCATTTTTTTTGCAAATTTCGACGTGGGTTCTGCGCAAAAATACTGTGGGCACGGTAGCCGGAGTGATATGCACAAGAAATGTTATATATGTACGTTTGACATGCGGAAGCGGAGAAATACTGTGGACACGGTAGCCGGAGTGTTATGCACAAGAAATGTTATATATGTACGTTTGACATGCGGAAGCCCCTCTTCCCCGCAACACAGAAAGGAGAATTCTGCTTAGTAAGGGTTATAATACCTAAGCGCGGCCGAAGGCAGAAGCAAGCGCAACAGGTGGTGGACCTAACAAAGTGCATGTTTTCAATGGCTTGGAAGAAGCTGTTATTGCATTAACTGGATTGAGAACCAGAGCTTCAGGCATAGGAGGAGTTCTGGCTTGTGGTTCAACAATTCAACCAGAAGCTGACATAGATGCGCCCATGGTTACTATGCCCGACAGCTCCGCATACCTTTGTGAATCCATTGCCACAGCGCCCGCTTACTCTGCTTCTATAATTGCAAATACATCAGAATCCATAATTTTCCTCAAAATATGTAAAATTAACCAATTTTACAATAAACAAGCACATGATGAGTGTTTTTTTAATTCCTTTCCACTTTGTTTTCCTTCATTCAGCTACCTTCGAAAAACAACAGATAGCTTGCAATCCTGCACATGTTTCCGCAAGGGTTGCAGCATGTGGATTTTTCGTTTTTCGTAGCATAGCTACGAATTACGAATTATGAAAATTCGGGTTCTAGAATAAGGGCCGGTTACTCAATGTCTGGTTAACACTAATCTGCGTTTAAACATCGTTACCGACGTCTTCGACTCCATGCATATAACAGGGAGTCGGTAACGTCGATAACGATGTTTAACCGCAGATTAGTGTTAACCAGACATTGAGTAACCGACTCTTAGAAGGTTAAAATGTGAGTTGAAATGTCACACTCGTCACCGTGGAATAAGCCATTAGTAAATCGCAACAAAATTTTAAATTTTTAAATTTAACGAACTTGTTGATTCAAATTAATGTTTACAAAAATGTAACCGTGTACCACAATCCTGATTGCAAATTCTTGTTGGCAAAAATTTTCCCATCGCGAATTTGCAACTTCCCCTCCATACTTTGATGTCCGCCATCTTGTAAATGAAAACAGCTGACGGCTTAAATGGAATAAACAACACTGAATTGAATATATATATCAAGTTTTATTTATTCAATGCATTAAATAGCGAAAATTTACATATTTTATTACTTCGAGTATAGCACGAACGAATAACAAAATGTAAACAAACTGCTATTGGTACGGATGACGTCACAGCCATCAGCTGTTTTTCGATACTTTTTTCTCACTCGCGAAATATCGTAACCTGTCGATCTTTAAACCATGCTCTCTCCTTGCAAATTTTACTGGGTTTTTGACCAAACGAACACGATTTGGTAACAATTGGTACCAACTTGTACATGTTTTTTGCATAGCGAACACTCTTAATACTGGCATGATATAGCTTTGGTTTTGCCATTTCTCGTGTAAAAGCAAACGACGCCTCTAAAACTTTAAACGCACTGAAATTCACTAATACTTTCCCTAAAATCACCGTTTTTTTACATTTTCTTTATTATTCGTTTTTACAAATCATATATTTTCACAATTAAAAGCAATTAAAACGCGAAAAATGGAATATTTAGAAAATTGTCTCTTCTGCCATTTTCTTGTATCCTCCTCTTCAGATTTTTTTACTTTTACACCTGAAATGACATTGCCCCCGGGAATGCGCAAGTTTGTATTCTATCATTCTTGCAATATGGGCTATTTAAGTGCAGATTAAAGGAGTGTTCGCTATGCAACTGCCAGTAAGAATTAGCCAGTAACAAAATTCAGAGAATAAGGTACTTTACTCTCCCAAAGAGAGAAACTTACTAAGTTTTGCGCGAACAGGAATTAGCAAACATTTGCAAGCTTCACTGCCAGCTGGCGTCCACGGTTGCATTTCGAGCAAAATAATCTTTTAAATTATTTCAGGTAGAAACCGAAACAGGACCTATGCGTATATTTCTTCTTATTCTGACTTTCTTTAACATACGCTTCAATTTCTTTGTGGAAGTCACTGTCGGATTTCCCATATCGACAGTGGTGTCGAGTGCGTTCCGATTACGAATACAGCTTTTTCAGCCAACTACCTTTCAAATGTTTGGAATTAATTAAATTAATTGAATAAACGAATATTTACCTATTTCTTTCATTCGTAAATCGCAACAAGATTGTTCATTTTTAAATTTAACGAACTTGTTGATTCAAATTAACGTTGATAAAAATGCAACCGTGTGCCACAATCCTGCTTGCAAATACTTAATGGCAAAAATTTTCCCAGCACGAATTTGCAACTTCCCCTCCAAATGAAATGTCAAAATTGTGCTCTCTCCATGCAAGTTTTACTGGGTTTTTGGCTAAACGAACACGATTTGGTAACAATTGGTACCAACTTGTACAAATTTTGTGCATAGCGAACACTTCTTATATGTAGGATCTGAAAATGAATTTTTGACATTAATCAACAATAGCTGCATTTTTTTGTAAGCGAGCGACAAAAGAACGCTCAACTCGGGTAAAATTTCCTTTTAGCTACTTAAGCAACCCTGTTGGTGGCTGGTAAGAAACATGTGATTAGTTTAATGGGATTTAGATACAAAAACCAATTCAAATGAGTAATTATGCGAGGTATTTGCGAAATACATATACTTATTTATAATATAAGTCACGTATATAAGGAAACAAAAATTTCCCTCTCCACTTTCCCATTAACAATTCACAATAGAGCAGTTTCTCACTTACCAACACTACCCTTCAAGTCGCGTATTTTTTAACCGACCTGGCTGAACTCAAGTAAATAGCCGCTGTTGCTTTGCGTTTGCAAAAGAATGCACCTAATCTCTACTTTTTAGGGAATAGTGTTGCAAATAACACTAAATTCCTAATGCCCAACACCTGGTCGAAAGAAAACAACTTGCTTTGATATTAACGAAGTGATTTTAATTGTAAGTTTTAGCAATTCCAAGAAATAGGCTTTTCCAGAAAAAATACGCAGTGATGCTTTCCATTTCCAGACAACCGGTCAGGTACGAGCATGATTTTT